ATTATATATATGTGTGTGTGTGTGTGTGTATGTGTGTGTGTGTGTGTGTGTGTGTGTGTGTGTGTGTGTGTGTTTATATATGTAACATTTGCAGTGAAACTATGGTCTGCTGACAGAAGAACTGGCATAGAATCACCAAACTCCTTAGGAACTTTGCATTCGCAAACAGCAGAAACAGTTGTAGTTCAGAGAGGATGCAATGACAGCTCACAATACCAGATAGGAGGAAAAAGCTAAACAGTGAATGAAATGTAAGGAAATAAAGACAGTAGCTACAATAAAATATATATATTTTAAAAGTACCTTCTGAATTCTTCCATCAATATCCAAATAAACACACTTGGGCCGATACGTTGATGAGTTGGATCCCATCTTTCTGAAGATCTGTTATGATCAAACTTAGCAGTAGTTTTGTTAGGTTAACTCTACAGCAGGAAGGCAGCCCGGCCAACCTCAGCAGAGCCACTGCTGCTTAGTGCATCCACGTCTTTGCTTGTCTCCATTCTACAGTTTCCCGCTACAACCCTTCCTCTTCTAGCATGCATGCATTTCCCTGCCTCTCTGCCACCTCCTTTCCATTCCTTCCTCCCCCCCACCCCCATACACACACTTTCATTCCTGTGACTCTACCAGCCACGGAAGGGAGAGCGCCAAGTGCTGGATCCTGTCTCCAAGTGCCCTCTTGATTCCCATAGCAACTCTCTTTCGCTTGAGAGCCAGAAGCCTCTGGGCAATCAATGTGCACTGCTGTACAGCAAAGTACGCTTTGATTAACGGCTTTCGACAGAGAAGACAAAATGCCATTTAGTACTGTGGGAAAATTATCTACATTCATCCCACAGTTCGCACCAGTAATTTTTATTGTGAAATCTTCACAGCCATCTTTTGATCTGTGCAGTTTTAAATGCATGATGAACATCCAGCTGCACTAGCTGCTGAAGTGACATTAAAAGGCGGAGGCGGGAGGAGGGGGGGAAGAACACCATAGCAAGAGTAAGAAGTATCTTCACTAAAATGAAATCTGTTTCTTTTATCCATACTTTCACTTCAAAGGTTAAACCCCCCTTCCTTAAAAAGAGGGGGAGAAAAGTTTATGGTAATAAAATATGCACCCCCAGTCTTAAAAAAAAGTATTTTAAGAAAACACAGTAGTGTTCTATTGTTGTAGTTCTGGATCCTAAAACCATATAGCTTACTGAAGGGAAAAGAGAAAGGAAAGGAAAACATCATAGGGGAGAAGTTGGGTGGCATGCTTCAAGTACTTCCTCCCTCACACACACTGTATATGAATTCCTAATGTCTTCTGTTCAATGTCATGTCAGACAAAAACATCACTACATTAAAGTGCTTTGGGCTGTAAGATGTTCAGGTAGCTGTAAGGCAAAATGCAGGCTGGCTTCCCTGACTCCTAAAGGGACAGGACAGCTTGAGAGAAGGACCTCATACATCCACTTACTTCAGGATATTACTGGCTTCAGTAGCAGCAGGGAATTCTGTTGTTGCTGTAAGTGGAATTAGCCTGTTAACAGTGAGAATTCAGCATATACTCTGGCCCTAAGTGCATAGTTACACTGAGAGCCCAATTCTGTGACCTATGCAGCTTATTTCCATTCTCATCTACCACAATCCCTTAATGCTATTTAACCTTGGATATGTGATTGAACACAAGCTACTTTCGAATTGGAAATGTTGAAATGTGAAAAAACATATATTGCTTTATAAGAATTTAGTTTATTTATGTTGTGCTGTCCCCCCAAAACTGGCCTTCAAACCAAATGAATGAATTAATTAATGAAAGAAACACAAATCTTTAAAATTCAGAGCTTTGAGAGATAGAAAATAAAGTGCTAAAGCACTGGTTCTTAACCTTTGTTACTCAAATGTTTTTGGATTGCAACTCCCCCTTCATGGATTGCTGCCTTGTCATGGCGAAGGGGCTCGAGTAACTCAGAGAAGCTATGGGCTATGCCGTGCAGGGACACCCAAGATGGACAGGACATAGTGGAGGGTTCCGACTAAACGCAATCCACCTGGAGTAGGAAATGGCAATGCCACTCCAGTATCTTTGCCAAGAATGCCCCATGATCAGAAACAAAAGGCTAAAAGATATGACACTGGAAGATGGACCCCTCAGGTCGGAAGGCGTCCAACATGCTACTGAGGAAGAG